ATTCCCAGTCTAGTGGTGTGATTGTCATATAAGTAAATATTTCTAGAGATAGGGAAAAGGGCTATAAGATTATAGATGGTTTGGCTTACTTTGAGAAACTTGTGAAAGATTTCATAAAGAGATTATTTCATAAACAGAGGGTTGTAAGGGATGTGTAGGAGTTTGATAGGTGAAAGAAAAGGGACAGAGTAAATTATGTCCTTATTGACTAGGGATTAGCATCCAATCTTAGCATTTGAACAACTCTCTCCCTTCCGGATAGATTTTTTTCCCTGCTATCAGCTTGCCAAAATACAGATAATAATCCCAACTCTCTCTTACTTGAATTAGAGGGGATATTGTAACTGTACCCGAAGGATACTTCTTACAGTTGGAATTCTGCACAGGTGAATAAGATTATGATAGCTTCAAATACTCAATGTCCACATAATGTTATCCTCTTCTATCATCTGATGTTAAGTCTGGTATTTCACCTTTGCAATGAAGACAAGAAAAGGAATCTAAGGGTTGATACATTTGTAGTCCTTGATAATGACAATGCTAATAGTTTTCTCTTTTAGGTTTGTCTTAAGAATTTTTGCAGAACTGAAAATGCTCTTCACAAAACCTCTAACAATCTTTTAATTGATCACTTCAAGCAGAAGATACAATTGATGTGCAAACAAGGGGAGATCATGGAGTCATCTTCTAACTGATCTTTGGGAGCTGGGAAATTTGGTGCTCATTACATTAGTTCAAGTGGCAGACACTGTTGTTGCCTTCTCTGCCTATCCTCCCTTCTGTCTCACCAGTGGAACTCCTGTCTGGTTCAGAGACTCCCGGAGACAAACCCAGGAGTGTACTGTGACTTGTTGGTCTACTCTAAGTCAATCATGTCCATATAGTTCCTTTCTTTCAAAACTGGATATCTGGCTTCCCTTGAAATTCTGGTTAGCACGACCCTGTTTATACCAAAGATGGTCAGGGGGAAGTCTGCTGGGGTTTTCTGGGCAAGCTATTCCTTTTCTTAATAAAACAAAACCAAAAATTGGGGCCTGCCTTCATGTCCTTATTCTGCCTCAAATACAGATGTGATGCCTGCAATCATAGCAACTTTTATGTGACTAAGAAGACTGAAGAATTTTTGCAGTGACATTTGCCCTGGTACCATGTTGCTAACATAGCAGTTGGCTGTGTTCAGATTTTTTGGCATGTGAGGAAAATAAGCATTCTTCTTTCTTAAGCTACTGTTGGTCAGGCTTTTTTTTAAAAGAAAAAAAAAAAAAAACCAGTCACTAAGCAGCAGCTTGGTGGTCATTCACAACATTAGCAGTTTGGCTGGTCATACTTTTATAGATTCAACAGGTAAGGTGACAGCAAGCCCTGTTGGATTTAGACTATTACTTAAACAGATGGCATAAGCAAATTAGCATGGTGTCAGTACCTTTGTGCCTTGTCCCATAGGACTAGACCAAGCTCAGAGTGCCAGATGATAGGCCACAAGGTCACTGTTGTTAAGGAGCCAACTCTAGGCTCCACTCAAGCCATTTTAGAGTCTACAACAGTTTCCAAAGGAGGGGGACAGGTGGAAAATCCCATGCCTTATGGAAACCATGGAAACAGATGAGGAACTGCCTCATGCAGCCTCCTGTAAGGTGGGGAAATGGTTGGAAATAGCTTTGTGGAAACTTTCACAACTCACAAAACTTGCTGAGCCCTTGAGAAGCTGATGGGTATTCATCAAGACAAGTCAGGAGGTGGCTGAGCCCTGCCTTGTGGACTGTGTGGAGACCTGCAGGGGTGTCAGGGAGCCATGGCAGAGCCAATTTCCTATAAATTACAGATCAAAGCATTTCTAATTGAGAGAGGTCGCATTCTAAGATGGCTTGGGGAAAGGACTTAGCTTGTTGAAGGACAAAAGTTTTTCAGAGGAGTAATATATTCTGCTTATGTTTTTATCTTTTGCTGAAATATCGCTCAGTACCTCATAGGACTGATTGCAAGGACATTTCTCTGCATACAAAGGGAGCGTTGAAGTACATTCCTAAGCATTTTCAAGGATAGATTCCAAGGTCTTGCGCGTGTGTGTGCGTCATGTGTGAAAGTTAAGCATTAACAACAAACCTCACAGATTTCCAGCACACTGTGTAACATGCTTTTTGTAGCTGCCCTTCATCAACATATATAATTACACATCCTTCAGACTGATCCCCAGCTACACAAATAGGCTTGTCACAATCTTATTTCTTAAATATATAAAAGAGGTTTTGAAATGTGAAATTTCAATCTTAACAAGCCCCCCCAAAATCATTTTTGTACAGCCATGCTTTTTCATGCTTGAAAGAAAAACCAAATAACTGCAAAAGCAGAGCACAGGTGATAAACTGCTTATTCAATTGTCATCCCCAACCACATCAGGTGGGAGGTGTTACTGCTGCTTATGATTCAAAGTATTCATGTTATATCACCCTAATGTCCTGAAGGAGGATTTATGATGTCTGTGTGTGACTCATCCTACTCATCCAAACTTTCCACAGGGATAAAAATGAAATAAATTTATTATTGTGGAATAGAATCAATGATCCCTGAGCTGGAAGGGATCTAAGGCTCTCTCATTCAAACCCCATAATTTTACTGATGAAGGTAAAGAAATTTATCCAAGTAGCTTGTCTCTATGCACCCAAAACAAGAGTACACATGGAGGTACATGGGCTACCCCTCTGCTCCCACCCCACACTCTGTTTTACACTGGGAAGTGCCTTATGAGCATGTATATTAAAACATTACCCTGCATGACCAACTGTGTGCAGCCAAACTCTTAATGACTTTATAGCCCCTTTCATCACTGTCCTCCAAAGGGGTTGCATGAAAAAGAATGTTCTTAAGGTCTGATTTGCAAACTTTGGAAAAAGTGCTGCTGACTTAGCTATTCATTTTGAATTTTAGAATTTTCTGGAAAGACTTGCTTAACATTCCAAAGTTCCCAAAGGGACAGATTCAAGAACACCTGATGGGGGAGGTGGGGAGTGTAAGGCTAAAGGCTGGAAACAGAAGAATCAGTGCAGTTCCCATGGCCAGTGATGAGCCCCCTCCCCAACGCCAGGCTCAGCTCTACCCAGAACACTGGTCACCAGGTTTACACTCTCCAAGCAAGAAAATGAGAATCCTGTCAGGAGAGAGACTGGGGCAGAAGAGTAGAGATTCAGACAGCAATATTTGAGGGTCACTCAACAAAATAACCACCTCTGCTAAAACCTCACCATCAGGCTTAACGGGACACAGATCAGTCCACACCCAGAACTTCCCTCATATCTTCAGGGCCTCCCTTTCATCTCCATGAGAAAGAATAGTTGAGGATGAGAGGGTGTCAAGGGTAGCTTCTAACATGAAAGAGATACAATAAAGTCAAAGCTAAAAAGGGATTCAAAGGATTCAAGAGCTAGACAGAGAGAAGAAGAAAACAAGCCCAAACATAACTGATGTCCTCAGAGAGAGAGAGAGAAGAGAATACTTTGCTTCCATAAAATAAGAACTGATTGGTTCTTGAAGGTTAAAATTTGAAAGACAGAATGGGAAAATTCCAGGGGATAAATTTCAGGAAATAGACCAGGGTATAAAACAAAATGGAAACAAAGAAAGTCTAAAATCAGAAAACTGGGGGGATCAAGCAAACAAGGTAGGTTTAAGTAAGAATTCCTGAAAGAGAAAAGTGAAAATGGAAAGAGAAAGTATTAAAGGAGTTGTGAAACACTTTCAGAAACTGAAGGATGTTGGTTGTCAGGTGCACATGAGAACTCAGCCTGAATAATGACAAAAGCCCAAGATCAGCATTTCTCAGACCTGTCAGTGCTCTTGTGCTTCATAGTGTGCCCTCAGCAACTGTGCTCTGGTCCTTGATTAGTCCTTTAGTTTTCTGCTGGGACTGGATTGGATCTAAAGCACAGAACTTGGGGACCTCCCTGGTGGTGCAAGGGGTTAAGATGCAACCTATGAAGCTATCTGCAGCCACTTTAGCATAAGTTCGATCCCTGGCCAGGGAGCTACCCACATGGCGCAGCAGACCTCTCCTGACTTGCCCATTGCTCCCCTCAGCAGTGAATTTCGGTCAATCTGCCTGTTCTGTTCCCTCCTCTGTCTCTGGTGAATTCTCTCACCCCCCCCCCCACATACACCTCTGGAGGTCTTATATACATAAATAAAGAAATCTTTTTTAAAAAAATAAAGCACAGACCTTGTATCTGGGTGGGATAGCACATGAACTCTTGTCCAGGCCCTTCTGCCTTGAGCTGTGCCCCCAGCCTCTAGAGCTATGGGCCTGCTTTAATTCATAGAGTTACTCCTGGCCTCCCATTTTGTTATAACAGTATATCCACCTGACCTTGAGTATGATCTTGTCTGCAGAGTACTCTGTGACACTTTGTTTCAGAGAAGATTCTTGGATAAAGCTGCTCACTTGGATGGGTTGTTTTCATTCCTGAGTTGGGAAGATGGGCCACTCCCTCCAAAGTGTTTATGATGGCTGAATTGGTTCCTGATCTCCACCACGCCCTTATCTACCTTATCCCTGCTCCCCACTGGTCTGCATACTCACAGCTTAGTCTACAGTGCTTCATTTCATTATCTTACAGTTAAAATACATGCTGAACAATATTCATGTATTTGGGCCAGGAGGAACTATAGGTTTTCAATGATAAGATCTCAGTAAACTAATACCAATATTAATAAGACTGTATTCTCAAAGAATTTGTTGACATAAAACATTTGTGAATCCTTAATTATATACATAAGCAAAATCAACCAAATAAAGTCATTTGAAACAGAAGGCAGTGAAACAATAGAATACAAGGAAAGCCCCTGAGAAGCTTAGGGAGCTATCAGCCACACCTTCAGCAAGTTATTGCGAGCCTACTGTGTGCAGGGCATGGAGGATATAATGAAATATGAACCCAGGCCGTTCCTGCGTCAAGCCTATGTTCTCTCGGGGGAGACAACAAACAACAAACACATTTTATTTACCCACTTTATTTCACAAAAATGCAATTTGACAAATAGTAACTTATTTAATCCTCCCAACAATCCTATGAAGTCAGCACTATTAACATATCCATTTGTCAAAAGAGGAAGCTGGGGCAGACAAAATAAGTTCTGCTCCAGGTGTCATGGCAGACAGGTCAATGACAGAGGCAGCACTCTGTGGGGACAACCAAGTAGAAGAAGGGGCTGGAGAGTCACTTTGGGGTGCACTGTCCATTTAGATAAGAAAGTTCAGGGAAGACTTTGGAGAAGGTGACCTGCCTGCATGGCTCTCTGTGGACTTTAGGGCTCTCAGGTCTCTGGGGGAGTGGGGTGTGTGTGTGTGTGTGTGTGTATGTAATACCATTTCCCTGTGCCTCCTCACAATTATTTTAAAATGAATAGGAAAACAAATTAATGTAAGGTTGCAGTTGCCAGAAGCAGTGTCCATGATCACTGTGCCTGGAACAGTTGCTGTGGCTTCTTAGGAATTTTTATTTCCTCTTGTGACTATAAATTAGATTCTGCAGGTGACATCCTTCTCACTCATTTCAAATATGTGCTATGCTTTCCTGCTTCTTGTTAAGGTGTTAATAGTTTATCACTGTGTGACTATTTCTATGCTCATATTTATCCTCTCTATTTGGGCTTTGTAGTTGCTGTTAAATATCACATCAGTATGACACCGGTCAATTATCAGAGGCACGATCTACCCAAATGGATTAAACAAAGATTTCTTCTTCCTTTTGCTTTGACTTCTGCATTTCAACTTTCTAGCTTTTCATGATGCTTAGCAGTCTCATTTCATTTTTATCACTTGGAAATGCAATTGCAATTCTAAAGTGCCCCAGCTCTCCTCAGTCCTAGCGTGCTTTCTGTGATTAGGAGAAAGGTAAATGCATTCTTAGAACAAGTCTGGTAAAAGGCTTCCCCGAAGTGGTGTGAGCACAGTGGTGGAAACCGGCATCCCATGTAAACATATCTCTTCACTGTTAAATGCCATAAATTTTCATTAGGTGATCAATAGAAATGACATGATTGCTCAGGAGCTCAACCCTGATATTTAAATATCTTCTCCTTGACCTTAATGAGGGCATATATCTGAGCAGTGGAGCGGGGTGACATTTACAACGTGGACACTCCATTCGGTGATTAGACACAGATCACTCAGAGGTGAGGCTTAAGGCGACTGGTGAGTCCACCATGTTCTAAATAGCAACTGTGATAATTACAAAACTTGGATTAAGAATAACAAATAATACCCTGTTTTCCAAACTGCACCTCAATTAGCAGTAGCATTACATATTTGGTGGCGTGGGAGGAACTTCTATTACATGCCAGGCCCTGAACACAAAAGGGAAGAATAGGGCTTCTGGGCAGGTGAGGAAATAAAAAGGTCAGGAGTAGGGGAGAAGCAACTGGAAAAAGTAAAAGTGACAGGACCTAAGTATATTAGTCAGGGTTCTCCCACAAAGTCTTAAATAAGGGACTAAAAAAGATCAATCTGTCACCTTCCTTTGTAAATCTTTGTTTTGGTAAATTCATAAAACTGAGACTCAGCCTTTAAAGCAAGGTATAACCATGTTTCTTTATCCAAATTTCTGGAAAAGGATAAACCAACTAATTCAGACTCTCAGGTGGGATGTACACTTAGCCATGTATTTTTGAGTGTTCCCAGACTGATTTATCCAAGGGATGTTTGTGATAGCTGAGTTCTGATGCCATGCCATTTCTCAACTTTGGATCCAGACAAGCATGATTATATGTGAGACAGTCTTTAAATTTAGCAACTATACCAACTGGTGATCCAATAGCAAAAGCTATGACTAATCTTTGAACTGCCAGAAAGGACCCTCTAGGAAAACTGCCACCCTGTTCCCTGGTCTTCAGACGTGTTCTCAGGGTGTTCTACTTTAGGGTGTTCTATTCTAGGGGAATATGGTCCCTGATTGTGGTGCCCTCTGACTGCATCTGCCCTGCTTTCCTTTGACTTACAGCTTCATTTTCTCCTTTGCAGACTTGTTTTGCTTTTCACCCAAATGGAAAAGTTTCAGGCCCTGTCTTTTCCATTAAGCCTGCTTATTAAGGAGGGGATAGCTGCTTGACTTGGGATACTGAGCACTCTGATCTTTTTTCCTGGTTTAAGGGAAGTTGTGCTTCAGAAACTGATCTCAGAACTGGCTCTGTTCAGGTGATAGAATTTTACAGACAGATGTGGTCTGCTTTCCACCATGAGTACCTTGGTGTTGGTTTTGAAGTCTCTGTTTCTTGTGTTCTTTTGATGCTCTCCTTACTGTCTCTGCTGAGGGCAGCAAGGGCAGGTCATTTAGTACATATCAGGAGATCTATGGCTTCTGTGTTTGGGACCAGCTACTGTTTGGCTACATATTTTTCATCTCTGGCTTTTAGAGACTAAGAATTGAAAAAATATCCTTGGCAACAATCTACGGTGCTTCTAATCTGCCCCTCCCTGACTCTCTCTTGACTGATAGTATTCTGGGTTATAGTTACCTCAGCATATGCCAATGTCCTGGTTAGGGCAGTTATGTCATCATCTAGATCAACTTTGATCATAGGTCCTTTCTTTCCTTCATTATGACTTTGACTGTGGCCATTTATTCCATTGTCATAGCTGCAGACAAACACCTAATTTGCTCAGTTTGTACAGTGGCTTCTTTGGGGCTCAGTTTGTACAGTGGCTTCTTTGCTCGCCACATAAGCAGCCCGTCTTCCCCTTATTCAGATGCATACACTTCTCATCTTCGATTTGAGAATTCTTTGCTTCCATGAAACTTAATCTGCTGTTGGTTTCAGTTGAGCAGATCCCTGAAGGCCTGCTTTTAGGGGGGCACTTCTGCTCTACATTCTGGTGTTGACAAACCAGAATAATGTCTAAGTGCGCGTTCTCACCACAGGTGTGCTTTCGGAGGCTGCAGAGGATATAAATAGTGGACTGAGAAAGGTACACTTAGTTAAGGAGAAATAAGATGGGGTCCAATGTGTGGTACTCTCTATGCTGGTCTTCCTTTCCAGTCCTCCAGCTGTATACTTGGTCTTGACTTGACTTTCTTGGGTGGCTAGAATGCCTAAAGATCACTGTTTCTCTTCACCACAATCTCCTCCTTCTGGGAATTTTACTATTGCCGAACACAGAGCACAGGTTTCTCTTCCTATCTCATTGCACCTCAATGAGATGACAGTACTAACAGTCATCTGAACCTGTGATAGTAGCAGCCACCTCTAAGTCTCTGAGGACCTTATCAGAAGGCTCATGAAGTCATATGAGACAATCTTACCAGGACTTCCCCTCTTGATGTCTTTTATTTACAGGAGTGGGTTCCAAGGTTTAAATCTGACTCATTAATTCATCCACCCTCTTTCTCAAAGACACCTCTCCCCTTGAGAACCCTACTGAAAATATTAGTGTCACCCCTTTATCCTTTTTTATCCTTCATCATAGCACTTACAGTTACCCAGTATCATGTTATATACTTAGTGTTTGTGCATTATATCTGCCTAATAAACTAAGACCCATGAGGTAGGAACTGTTTTGTTGTCTGCAGGGTTCCTGACATCTAGAATGATGCTTAGCATCAAACGAGTGCTTAATATGTGTTTGTTGGATGAATCACTAGATGGGAAAGCCAGAACTTAAGACAAGCTCTTTATTTCCCAAGGTCAGTTTTGTCAACAGTGAGGGGAGTCCTGAGTATGCACAATGTGGGCACCCACAATCAGAAATAGTCTGTGATTTGAACTCAAGTCCTGTTATATCCTCTGTGGCTCGTGTTGATGGTGGTAATAAAATTTTATTACAGTCTGCCCAAGGAAACCTAAAAACTAGACTCTTAACTAAATTATTTCTCCTTAGTGTTTCTGAATGAAAATCCCAGCTAGAAGCCTTAGCAGAGGGTCTGCATGAAATGATTTACTGGAATGACATGTGTGCCCCACCTGGAATTGAAACAGAAGCATCAGTATTATGTTTGCTAATTTATGTTACTAATGAGGACATTTCCAGGGAGTTTCAATGACAGACTCCTCATTTACTCCCAGAGCTGCATGCACAGCTCCTAGAGCCCCTGAAACAAGCTTGGTTAAAATCATACTTCAAATGCCCAGAGAAACTATGCCATGACTCACATTATCCCCAGGTAATATCAACTGAAGGAGAACATTTATTATTTACTTACTTTGGTTACATCAGCCTTAGAAATTATTCTGGTTGAAGTATAAAACTCTACTAAATGTCTAAGACTGACCTATATAGCAGAGAGGTTTGTGGAGGCAAGTGAAACAGTTGGACTTGTTTCCACCACACATGTTAAAAATGGAGCAACATACATTTCTTCTGTCCCTCATTATAATAGGTAATACAGTTGAAATTTTTGGAAAACCCAGCATTTTCAGGAAATGGCACTACAATTGTCTTCTCTTCTGTAGAAAAAAAATAGAAACAATTTAAAATACACATAGAAACATTTGTGAAACAAGTTTGACTGTACAAATGAATATACAAAATAGGGGGTACTCTAAAATTCTGGTTTTCTGCATTCCCATGTTTCCTTCATTTCTTTTGGCATTTGTTCCTCAAATATTTATCCAGAATCTGCTGTGCTCTACTTTTTGCTAACTAGAGATAGGAGAATGGAATATAGGGGTAGACATGGGCACATATATGTGTTATTTTTACAATGAAGTTGAAATAATTTATTCTTTCTGATCAAAATAATTTTGGTTTCCATAAATGTTTGTGGGGGAAAGTAGGGGCAGAATTGTCAAAATTCTAAGACAATCTTGTAAACCAACTATTCAAATGAATTGAGTAGTCAATTGCATCTACATGACCATGAAAGAATTGGACTGTAGAAGTTGAGAAAATATTTGCAGCTTTTGAAACTGGTCTTTGATATTATTTATAGTATTTATTTTGAAAATTTATTTTCTTTATAGTATTTATTTTAGCTCTTTAAAAGTCTTTCATGAGGTTGTGCGACCCTGGTGACCTCCCACTTACCAGTGCCCGGCACCTACGTTACCTGGAACAGGGGATGGCAGCCCAAAGCTTGCTGAGGCTGGAATTCTCATGCTTTGGGGAGGGAATGCTTATTGGACATTTCAAAAAATACATATTCCACCTCACATGACATTTGTGGAATATTTTACTTCAGGTCTGACCTTAGGAAAACTGAAGAAGGCACTGATCATGGCACCTCAGTACACTTTCTGTATTTTCTCCTTCCCATGGGTAAACTCTTTGTCTCAGGTTTCTAGCGCCTTATGTTTTCTTCCACAGACAAACCTGTTCCTAGGAAATGATTTCTGTTACAGTCACTCATGGAAAAATTCAAATATAGGTTGCATATTTTCCTTTCTCATAGGCGTTTACATGAACAAGGCTCAATCCTTTAAACAAGAATAATCACTTCTGAATTTCTTTTTATCATCTACTAATTGCAGATGTAGGGTAAATTCCAGCTCTGTCGTTTTATGGTTGTAAATGTAGTATCATTTGTCCAAGAGAACTAGTGAAAAGTACAGTGTAAAACTCTATGGGAAAGGGGCCTCTCTGGTGGCACAAGGGGTTAAGCATTGCACTATGAAGCTATCTGCAGCCTCTGCAGCAGCCTCTGCAACAAGCCTCTGCAGCCTCTGCAGCATGAGTTCCATCCCCAGCCGGCCAGACAGCTACCCACATGGCGCAGCAGACCTCTCCTGACTCGCCCACTGCTCTCCTCAGCAGTGTATTTCAGTACATCTGCCTGTTCTGTTCCCCACTCTGTCCCTGGTGAATCCTCTAGCCCCCCCGCACCTCTGGCCTATAACCCAGTTCTTGCATGCATAAATAAATCTTTAGGGAAAAAAAAGAGGAAAATAAATCAACTTAGATTGTCACTGGAGTTTTTAAAATTACTGTTAATTTTTCAGTGATGCTCAATACATTTGAAGCCTCTGGGTAAGCTACCCAGAGATAGGTGAAGTGTGGTCACACATGAAAATTCAAAGGAAAGGGGAGGGAAGCACCAAGTGCAGACTGTGAGGGCCTCTCCCTCTTTTTATGGGAGGAAATTCTTCCCCAGAGTCCCCAGGAAAACCCATTACATCACAGTGGCCAGGAGTGGGTTATGCCACCACCTCTATTAGCAAGGAGTTAGTTGACTGAGACTGAGACCAGTCATGAGTTATGCCCCAGAGGGGTAGGCATATTGAGAATTGAGCAAAATGAAGATTTTGCTAGCAAAGAAGGTAGTCAATAGTGCCTACCCCAACCTTGGATTCACCGAGGAGCTTCTCTGAGCAGGTCTGCACCAGGCTTGAAAATGTCTACGCCGGACACCGTGCCAGTCTGCTGTGCCGTCCAATTCCTTCTTTGTAAATTTTTGAGAAGAGCAGGGTGTGACAGAATGGATGGCGATACTTTAAACTGAAAGAGAAAAACAGGATGTTGTAGCGCTATGTTCACATTCCTATTCTCGTCATTTATCTCTCAGTTTTTTTTCTTTTATTCTTTATTCTGCTGAACCTCTTCTACAATAGTATTTGCAAACTTGCTAGAAAAAGCACTAGCTTTTGTTTGGTCAGGCTACTCTTTCATTGAAATAGTCCGGAGATGAGTGTATTCAGTTTTATTTTCAAAATCTCCACTTATCAAATGTTAGCATGCTAAGAAAACAGATGGTTGGATCTGTGACTTCTTTTGTTGTGTACAGGCTAATGTTTTAAACATCATGCCAAGACCTGATTTGTAATTTTAAAATTGCCATTTTCCCAGGCTGAGCTTGGGGTACTATAAAAATTCTGACAGTCTTCAAGAGGGGGAAAGCAAAATTTTTGCATGAGGGCTAATTCAAGAAAAATAAAATTCTTTAAAGGACTCATGTTTCCCAATCAAAATAAAAATAGTTTTATTGATTCCAAAGGAGAAAATTGTATATTTTTCGGACATACAATCTCTGACATTTAATAGGATAATGCCATTCTTCAAATTCCCACTTCCCTTTTAGCTGTTAAAATGTTGATGTCTTGGTATCTTTTTGAAAAGATGTAAAAAAAAATCAATTTTGACTGACATCAGATCTTTTAAAATTATTGCTAATTTTTCAGCAACATTCAACACAGTTGAAGGTTCATTGTAAATTGTATATCTGGAGCTAGATGAGGTCTGCACTAGGCTTGAATATGTCTCCGTGGTCACATATTAAAAAAAAATTAAAGTTTAAAAGTTTTCCACAAAGCATTCTTTACATGATGTGTTAAAATTGCATCATATCTATAGAAAATGTTTACTTTTTGTATATAGATCCATCCAAATTGTTTTAATGATATATAAAATCTCTATGATTGCAAAAAATGAGATTTTTAAGTTTTCCAGAAAAGAAGCAAACTTAGATTCATCTTTCTAATCTTTCATCTTTTGTAGTTGGCTTGAGTTTTAGAGGTCATGAAATTTGTTTACACACATTATTTCATGTCTCTGAATTAACCTGCCAAAAGGATTGTTCCCATTTATATATGAGAAAACTGAGGCTTAAGGGAAATGAAATGACGTCCCAAAAGTCACAGTTATGAAGTTAATGCTAAACTGAGATTATTCTATCCATTGCAATACTTGCTAGTACTTATGTTAAACATGATTCTCACACTGAAAATAATAATAATAATCAGGTCTAACTTTTATAGAGCATGAGGCACTGTCCTAAATATTGACATGCATTATTTAATATTATCAACAAACCTATGAAAATTCCCTTTTTAGGGTGCACAGAGTTGTCGGTGTGCAGGACAAGGGATGCGCCACTGGAGACTGCAGGAGTGAGATTGCAGAGTGAGGATTATGGGTTTGAGTCCAAGCCTCCCTAATTAGAAGACATGGAGCCCTAACCTGCAGGGAGAGCCAGGCTGGATCACATGGGTCTCCTTGTAGATGGGGCTATTCTTAGCAACCTGAGAGTGTGATGTGCAAAACACCTTCTGAGCTCTACCCATGGCCCAAATCAAGACAATTGAATGTTCTCACTAGCCAGAGTTGAAACACCTGGATCTTAATAAAAGGTGAAAACACCCAGGACAAGCCTCTATACTTGAAAAGGCAGAGAACATTTCCTGGACCACGCCCTGTCTCTACTCTAGTCCTCATCCAGAGCTACATCTATAGTTCACACAGAACCAAGATACTGAGACTGGCACAAGGCTGTAGTGACATGTACCTGAGGAGTTGGCCTAGGGCAGGGAACTACTGCTGATCCCCACCATACAAGTCAGGTGCCATGGCACTGTAGGCAGCTTGAGCCCTTGATGCTCACTGGAAATAAACTTCCGGTGCCCTAATCCCTGCTTCCTTCCTGCCGTTCACTCCTTGCTGGCATCTGTGCTCTGGCAATCTGAAAATGTGCAAAGGCAGCAGTCTGTGAAATAATAGATACCTAAAGATCCTGAAGAGGATGAAGAGGGATCAGAGGGAGGGTGGGCGGAGCACAGAGGACTGTGGTGATGGTGCACGGGTGCATTGGTGAAGGAAATTCTCTGGGGACTCCACCTAGGGAGGGGGAAGCAAATATTGTTTAAAAATGAACAATGATGTAAAAAATAAATTTTAAAAAAAACCCTTAAATTATACCTGAGAGGTAGTTGCTTCCTCTTCCCTGGGGATCTTTCTTGTATTTAAGTAGTCAGGACCTAGAGAAAGTCCTATGGAAAGTCAAAGGAGTTGCAAGTTACGCCAAAGCCATTTCATTGACAAGATGGCGGATCTTCGTGTCGTGATTCTCCTTCTCTCCGATTTCTCTATTTTCTTCTGTTTCACTCATCATCTACTCTCCACTTAATCTTTTGTCCCTCTATTCTCTATCTCCAACCAAGCCCTCCTGACAGAAGTATTCTTGTCTGGAAAGCAAACGCGGTCTGTTCAGTACATTTTAAATTTGGTCATGGTGTACTAGACTAAAACAACTTACTCTTCAGCAAGGGATTCAAGGGATCATCTGGGGAACATATAGGGTGTGTGGGAATCATCAGGAGGAGCACACACATCTTAACTGCCTTGTCTTTCCCTGTGTGTGAATTTGCTTCAGGTAAGCAGACATCACCCTTGTCACTTCTGTGTGGAAGCTGTAAGACCCAGTAGAATTTCCACACTCTGCCTCTGCCACAGTGACTGGCCACACTTCCCATGGTGGCTGCTCCTTCAGCCCAAGTCCAGGAAAGAGGATGACTTTGAGCAGAGGCTACTTGCATTAAATATTAGTATAAACATCTTGATTTCTGCTCCTGAGATTCTTGGCTTGTTTGTTTCTGAAGCATGATGTAACAGCATTATGTTACAGCACAGGTGCTGACCATAACAGACAGAGTCAATGATGTGTTTCCTGGTAAGAAACGCTCATGGAAAATTTCCAGTTGCACCACAAAATTTTGCCTTGCAACTTACTGAGATCAGCAAGGTAGGCCAGTGACCAGGGCTTACTATCTTAGTTTCACTAACACTTCAGACAGGAAAGAATGACAGCAAATCAACTGCGGTGCTGCCTGAAACTCTTCTTCCCACTCCACGTCCTCTGCTCCTTAGCCTGGCCTGTTGGCCCCTTCCTAGTGATAGCAAGGGACACCACTCTCTTCTTTGTTGGTGGGCTGCACACATGTGCTGGTCCTCTCCCAATCACCCACAGCACAGGAACAAAGCTGTACCTTCCAATCACACTTCAGTGAGAGTTGAGGAAAATAGAAGGGAAATGAGAGACAGGAAGTTACACTTCTGACCATGAGCAAATCTGTTTTAGGGTCTCCTAAGTTCTCCCCTCTCCTGACCATATGGAAACCCCTATGCCTGTGCCTGTTTCACTCAGCGCCTCTTACACTCACCCCAGCATCAGAAAAGCTCTAGGAGTCTCTTTACCTGAGATCTTGCCCCCAAAGAAGAATGTTTTTCTAAGCTGTTTACAAAATCCTTTTTTTTTTAAAATCCCAGGCCTGATAATTTCCCAAGATGACTTTCTGGGGGCATTTGTCCACTTGAGGAAACCCCATTCTCACCTCATGTACCACAATCTGAAGCTACGGCTCTAACAGAACAAACACATGATAGTTCTAAAAAGAACAAAATGGTGTGTGCTGTGAGAACAACCTCAGGCCTCAGAAGTTCACCTCATGGTTCAGAAGTTCTTTTATATAGTCTGTGCACAGTTCCTCAGGAAAACTTTCAATTTTATTTCTGTAGTATTTGCTTTTTAGAATTAACTAAAAGATATTAGTTCCAGACTTTTTCTTTTTTTTGATAAAATACTCTTCTAAGTGTCAATTTTTCAGTGCAGCATTCCCTGACTCTGGATTGGGTGAATCTCTCCATTCTGGGTAACTCCATAGCATTGTCCTCCACGTCATTTTGACAAAGTGACTTACTTTGTCATAATGTGACTTGTCTTGTTGGTGTCTCTCCATTTACTAAAAGCTACATTTCTGTCCGAGCCCGCGGACTGTTCAACGAGGTTCTCGAGGGGAGAGCAGCGACCTGAAGAACAGGGGTACACCGGAGGGAGACACGTGCACTCTTCGTTCAACTACCGCAGGTCTCGTTTACTTTCGGTTTTGGTGGGGCTTTATAGCTGGGGACCGGAAGCGGAAGAAGCAGGCCAAAGCCGTCATGCGCACTGGGCCAAAAGAAGCTAATCCCGGAAGGGCACATGCCCTTATTTGGTGCGCCGGAGGTCGTCATGCGCACTGGGCCAAAAGAAGCACAGCCAATCACAGAAAGGGGGAGTATCCTGATGCCACGAGGTAAGGCGCCAACAGATCCCCCTTTTCTCTTTATTAGTGAGGAGGAATGTGCCTGTCTTAGGTTGTGAATTGCAGGGACGAGCCTTACCCGTCATCACCCGACAGTCCTAGATGGAAAGGGAGCGGGGGCTGTCTTAGGTTGGTCTTGTCCCGCATTCCATCTTACCCGTCATTGGCTATCCATTCCAGCATCCTCAAGGGGGCCCAGCCAGGAAGCTGGATAATGACTGAAGTTAAAAGGCTGCCAAAGGTCAGGACGGTGGGACTCCCATAGCATGTAGGCTGTGCTACCTACTGGCCAGGCGCAGACGGCGACCGGAGATCCGTATATGCGCCCCCGCTTTCCAGCATTTCCAGGCGGTGATAGTGCACCTGGATAGGTCTCGCCTGAAGGGACTGTATTTGTTGCCTTACAAACCCAACAATTTTGTTTAAAACACAAGGACCTATAGCAAGTAACAATAAAAGAGATAACAGGGGGGACCCAACAGGGGAAGCAAATACAGTAAAAGTCCATTAAGGCAAGTCCATAAGGGGTTGGTTGCAAGTTCCTGGAAATGGAGATGGCCAAACCGGAGGCACCCGTGGCCAGGGCAGAGGTAATGCCTTGCAGTTGCAGGGCGAATCCAAGGAAGAAGACGCGGATGCGAGAGAGGCGGGTGGTCCGAGGCCGGCTAAGACACGGGCGACAGGGTACTGTTGAAAAACCAGGAGAATCCAGGTGGCCACAGGCATCCTGAAAAGGAAACAAAAAGAGACGCCTCAGAGGAACTCAGCCACTCTGGGTGGAAGGGGTTGACGGGGCGCCTCGGCGGCGTCCGGAGGTTTTGTAGTGGCGCTGGGTGGCGCAGGTACAGCGCGAACCAAGCGCTCTGGGAGCCAGCGAGGAGAGTCAGCATTGTGGGGGTAGACACAAACCGCTCCACGAGCCCAAATCAAAACAGGGTCTGGACCATTCCAAGAGCCGGTAAGTGGGTCCTTCCATTTGACCAACGCAAACTGAGTGGAGGTGGAGGAGTGCCAAAAGCGGTCGGCTGCACTTTTACCAGCATCATCCAAGCGGAGGAAATTTAAAATAAACAAGGCATGACACAGGACATTGCGGGGCGCCAACCGGGCGAATAACGGTTTTGAGTGTCTGGTGGGCTCTTTCAACGATGCCCTGTCCCTCGGGATTATATGGTATGCCAGTAGTATGAGTAATGGAAAGGGTGGCACAGAATTCAGAAAATGCCTTGGAAGTGTAGCCCGGTCCATTATCAGTCTTAAGGGCCTTAGGCACGCCTAAAACAGAGAAGGCATAAAGGAGATGGGAGATAACATGTTTGGTGGCCTCCCCAGCATGGGGAGAAGCCACTAAAAATCCACTGAAGGTATCAATGGAAACATGGACATACTTGAGATTACCAAACTCAGAAACATGGGTGACGTCCATTTGCCAGAGGTCTCGAGGGGCCAAACCACGAGGGTTGACACCCAAGTGAGGGACAGGAAGGGAAGTAGCACACGTTGGGCAGGAGCGAACAATGTGCCTGGCTTGGTCTCGGGTGAGACGGAACAACACACGCAGGGACCGGGCATCGAGATGATGGAGGTCATGGGCTTGTTGGGCCTGGGTGACCGAAAGAACGTGAATTGTCTGAGTGGCTGCATCGGCCAAGTTGTTTCCGTGTGTCAAGGGTCCCGGAAGACCCGAATGGGCCCGAAGATGGCCGAGGAAGAAAGGAGCGGTGCGGTTCCGGATGGCCGCCTGGCACTGCTGAAAAAGGGTCGCAGCCATGGAGGATGTTTTGATAAATGGGGCGGTTTCAAGTAGGGGGACCGACTGGGCGATGTAAGCACTATCTGTATATAAATTAAGAGGTTGATGGGCAAAGGAAGAAAGAACAGTGATCACCGCCTCAAGCTCTACAAGCTGGGCCGAGGAATGAGGGGTTTTGTCTTTCAAAAACCTTACAATTATCAATAAACTCAGCCTTCCAAAGGAGGTGATCGCCCCCAGAAAGGGTGGCCTTTGCCAGAGAGTACCAATCCGACGGAGTGAGAGAGGATTGGGCTAAGGTGTCCAAAACAGTGAGGGTGAAGGGCGCCGTGGCTCCATAAAGGGACACCGCCTCTTTTAGTTCTTTAACGTTGCGGAAATTATGAGGCTCATGATGACGTTGAACAACGCCCTGGGCGTTGGTGGTTTCAACCACCGGAAAGAGATGTAATGGAGCAGGGCGCGAAGGAGGAGGGAGGGACGCAGAGGGCGGCTGAGTGGGAGGAGTCAAAGAAAAAGGCCGCAAGGCAACAAGGGAGGAAGAAGGAAGGCAAAATGGCGGCAAGGCGGGAACAGAAGGACAAAATGGCGGCGGATTAACTTGTGGGGGCGGAGCAGAAGGGCCGTCAGCAGACACGGGGAAAGCAGCACACAATTTATCAAAACGGTTAACAAGAGTATTAATTTGGTTTCCCAAGGTCTCAAGTGTTTGCATTAAAACAGGCTTTTTTATGGGGTCCTTGGCAATAGTGGCGGGGGAGGGGGGGAGGCCGGTAGCGACCCTCTTGTTCTGCCAACTCGTCCCAGTCTACCTCGGAAGCCAGAGGGGACCTACGGCGGGGTCGCGGCAGAGAAGGGTAGAGGCTTTTGCATGGGGGAAGTGTATTTGGATGGGGCTCCTTTACGGGGGTGCCGGCAGGTTGGGGGGCATCATCTGGCACTGGGGGTGCATTATTTTGGGGATTAGTCTCATCATCACTATGAAAGGAGAGTAGGTCTTCGCAACAAGCCTCGGGAGGAGAAGCCTCAGCAATACTGGAGGGAGCGCTTTTAAGAATATTTTCAGCATGGGAAATAGTGTGTTGTAAGCCAGGATCATTTCCTCGCTTGGCTATAAGATCATTAATGAGGTTCCAATAGGAAAAGGCCATCACAGGGTCTTTTTCAGGTCCAAAGACGCGGTAGAAATCGTTTAAAGCGTCGCCGACCCTTTTCCAACGTTTTTCATCAATGGTTCCCTCTTTAGGTAACCACGGGCATGTTTCTTGGACGAAATCAAAAAATGAAAAGAGATCCTTAGACTTAACCCTAGCTCCGCGTGTCCTAAGAGCTTCCTTGAGCTGGGAAACATAAAGCTGGTGCTCACTAAATGCCTGTCCCTTTTTTAAACAATTCAGACGCCAAAACTTACCTAATGACTGTCCCGCCGAATGGGTCGGGTCCTGAGTAACTCGCGCCGCGCGCTGCGTCTGGGTCTACTGTAAATCTCTCATACCTCGAGCGCCACGTTGGGCGCCACCTGTCCGAGCCCGCGGACTGTCCAACGAGGTTCTCGAGGGGAGAGCAGCGACCTGAAGAACAGGGGTACACCGGAGGGAGACACGTGCACTCTTCCTTCGGCTATCGCAGGTCTCGTTTACTTTCGGTTTTGGTGGGGCTTTATAGCTGGGGACCGGAAGCGGAAGAAGCAGGCCAAAGCCGTCATGCGCACTGGGCCAAAAGAAGCTAATCCCGGAAGGGCACATGCCCTTATTTGGTGCGCCGGAGGTCGTCATGCGCACTGGGCCAAAAGAAGCACAGCCAATCACAGAAAGGGGGAGTATCCTGATGCCACGAGGTAAGGCGCCAACACATTTCTTGAGGACCAGAGCTACTCATGTTCTACATGGCACTTGGGCTATAGGACTGTATAATACATGTCAACAGTGTGGTTGCAAGACTTCCAAAAGTATCATCATGTCCCCATTCAATTCTGGATGGTGCATGTGTCTTTCTGTGTTGTGGGGTGTGTCACATAGTTATGTCTGTGTGGCACCATGTTTTGGATTTGTCCAAAACTGCCCATATTGAATCTGTCAAATAGTTCACAGGATGAAACATACAAAAGGTTTGAGAACTATTTATATAGACAATCACATCCTGAAAAGGGAGTTTGAGGTTCTTATTTGCCAATAAAGATTCTCATGCCCTATGGTCATAACCTCTTATTTATCCCTGCATTATTCCAATTATATTTAAAATCAGAACTTTAAAAAACATTTTCCTTTTTTTTCTCTTAAAGGCACATGACACACCATTGTGTCCTTAATCTAGTAGTTTGTGGTGTTTTTAGTAGGAAATAAAGGAAATGATCAATCTTTTTGGTATGAATGTTTAAACTTACATGATAAGTCAAAATTTAAAACAGACTTCTTCATCTGAGTTTTCCTTTTCTATTTTCACCTCTTAGTTGTTTTTTTTTTGTGAGATGAGCATAGTAAATATCATTGAAAAACAAAGAGAAAATGACAGATTATAACTGAGTTATTGCAGAATTGCTTTGCTACATTTTTTTTTTTTTTATTATTGGCGATGGTATTTGTCATTTGTCAACTCCCTGCAAAATCCCTTTTTCCCCCGTAAGTCAAAAATGTCTTCTTTAGGGCATACAGGATAAGTTGTAATAACACATTTGATAGCTCCAAATAATTCTCTTCTATCCGTGTACACAGTGAATGTTATTAACGGGAAACTCTTTGCATGGGCCCTGAAAATAGTCAATAACTCAACTTGTCAGCATTTTGATAACTACAGACTTCAATTTAACATCAAGAAATATAGGATTCAGTTTAGCACTTTCAAAAGCAATGAATATAGATGATGAAATCTCTTCTTTCAGGCAAGGAGATGGCAAATTATTATACATAGATACTTATTTCTAATAATGTCTTTTCAATTTACTTCTCACTTGCCTGATATTAGAAGTATTTGTCCAGAAATTGTTGGGAACTTAATCATCATTTCAGAGCTGCAAGCCCAGTCTCAGGGACAAACTGAAAATCTTGTCAACAGCTCAGTGACAATACTTCCCACCGCCTTCCTATACGTTCTTATCTCCTTCTGCTTCTTGCCTTTCAGTTTTATTTCTAAGCAACCCAGAAATAGCTCTTTTGGGGGGAAATTAACCATGATGTCAGTATGGTTGTCACTTGGAAGTTACTATTTGTCTTGTCTTTCCATCTTTATTGCCATGAAGACTCAGGCATGGCCTCCTTTTTCTAACATCTTCCTCTCTCCCACTCAGTTTGGGTGAATGGAAAAAAACAGATGTTCTCGTGTAGCCTGACTTAAAGATGCTGAAGGAAGGACTGCAAGGTAGTCACTTTAATGTGCAATCTTCTATTATGGGGGCAGTTCTCACGGGCAGGACCATTCCTCAGGCTGGATAACCTCTTGGTTCCCCTTCCTATGTGGTTTGTGCTATCTGCTCCCTCCCAACTTCGGGTATTTGGAGGTCCCCTCCCAGGGCACAGCCAATGCTTCTTCAAGGCCGGGGAAGAACTGAGGTCCTACGTGCTTTAATGCTCTCTTCATGTGCATTTACCCTATAGCCAACTTTAGCCGGCACCAAGCATTGTATTATTTATGGTGTCATTCCCACACTTACCTTAACACTTCACTTCCCTGCCTCTGTCACCCATGCTCCTCATGCTTCCCTCCTGCAGCAGCCTCTACTGCAATCACCCCTGTACTCCTTCGGGGTGTATTAGGCCATGCACTCCCTGAGGGCGAACCTCATTGTATGCATCCAGAGAGTGCAGGATGGTGGTAGAAAGTATTCAATTTAAAAAAAAAATAAATAAATGGTTGAATAATCAAAAACATAGACAGCAAGATCAGTTTGAGTTCTCTTGTACAATTATCAATTTGTTGCATGGGTTTTCTATTGAGATTTTATTTTGCTTTTGAAATCAGCTCTGCTGCATGAGCAGGCCCACGCGTGGAGATGGTCTGGTGTGGTGAGGAGCAGGTTTATGTTGATCAACACAGCTGAGTTCAAGCTACCAGCATGTTATCACTCAGTGTGGCATCAGAGAGAATTGACCAGTGGAATACAACTGTGTAGTATTTCCTTCATGCATCTGCAATGGAGGAAAATGATCTCAATAGCCTAGATAGAACAAAATATGGTAGAATCACTAGGAAATAGAGATTTTTGCATATTTATTATTTTTGTTTTTAACATGTTATTTAATGGTAAGCTTAATATAATTTTAAATAATGATTGTAACACTGGCTTGCAAAGTTTCTGATGATTTAATAATTTTCCCTGATAATTTAATAGTGATATTATCATAGCTGACTTCTGACTCCACCGGACAGGACACTTCAATTTTCAGTAACCAAAGCTTCTTCATTCAGTCATGAACCCACACAAGATCACTTGCACCATTTCTTTGCTAGCATTCTCAACCAGGAATATCTTCTGCTTGATGAGAAAACTAGTTGTTTTGGTTAGTGACAGAGAAATACAAAGAAATTGGTAGATATACCAGGGTGGAGATTAGGGCATCCTTTACCTCTTCAAAACCTAGAGCCTATTACTAAGTATCTTGTGTTACAGGACAATACAAGAGAGTACTTTAACTTAATCTTTTCATATTTGGCTGCATAAGTCATTGCTATGCTTCACCTCCTCCAAAATCCACCTTGACCTCAGCCACTCATTTTCTCTCCAGCTGTATTTCCTGAATAATATACCTCCATTTCCACATCCTGGATTGTACAAACAGCTTTTGACATCTCACTTCATACTAGAAATCTCTCTGAACTTTTGGATAAAAGGTGATAATTTTGCCACCAGTACTTCCACTGCCCCCACCACGCCACATCAAATTCACTCTTTTTTTTAAAAAAAAATCACATCAAAACAGTTCTATGGAATTGAATTTGTGAATAGCCTATGATTATATTGAATATTTTTATTGCCCTATTCTTTTATATGTTGATTTTGAACAGCCATTTATTGATGGGCAGTGCTCTGGGATCAAATCCATTTAGTGTTCTTTACCTCTCATTCAGTAAAGAGTCATGAACAGCTTCATAAATGTCTTTTCATAGCTTCAGAAATGGGGATACTCATGATGAACTAATTGATAGGTATTGAATCATGCTTGTGAGTGACAGCATGTGAAATGATCAAACTCTCCTATGGCCTGATTCATCATTAAAGAGTAAGTAATGATGATAAGAATGCTTGCAAACATCTGGCCTTGTCCCTATGTCTTACACATTATCAGCATGCACCATAACCTACATTGTGCCAATTGTGCCAAAACACACTCTCAAAAATCCACAATTACTGTGTCTGCCTTTATATATCGCCTAAGTTATGAATACATGATGAATAAAGGAATTCTAGCTATTTTGTGCATTACAGGGAATGAAACATATTTCAATTGCCTTATCCTTGAAAACAGAAACAACTATTAGGTTTTATTTCTAAATGTTTAATTCATCACCACAATCATCATCATCTGGACTACAGATGGCAGACATGCTTTGTAGTGCTCTACTTCTAAGTAAATAGCATTTCCTTGACTAGTTCTGTAGTGAAATCTACAGTGTTTACATTCCTATCAGTTCTTCTCTGCATTTTCCTCAAACGTACAAGCATATTTGGAATGAGAATGATTACAATAAAGAACAAGTGTGTTCTCTCAAATTTAGTTAAGGAAAAAACTAAACTCGATTGGAGGAAAAACCCTTTCAGAGAGATTCTTTTGGTAGTGCTGGTTGTTGTTTTTGTTTTTTTTTTTTAATTTACATATAGCTTACTCAGTCTTTTCAATAGGGCACACTTCCATTCCTATTTTCTTTGCTCATAAATACCTGACCAAACATAATTCACTTAATTAACAGCTCTCTAAATAGATTGAGTTTGTTGCCTTAGGGGACAGACACTGGAGGCCAGAAACTCCTGAGTTGTCTGGCCAGGCTCCAGAAGTACCTAATCACATGTTTACACTGGAGGAAAAGAAGGCACCGAAATGCAAAAGACAGCAGTAGCAACAGAGGCCACTGGGTACAAGAGAGAGGGGATGCAGAAGAAGGAGCTTCCCTCTGTCTTCCATGTCTGAAGGGCAAGTTTCAGGAATGGCATTGATGAACTCTGGTGATGTGAACAGATGCAGTGAGCCACAATATGCAAACAGGCAGATGTTAGTAAGGTCAGTTTACTGGCATTTCTGGAAATATTTCCAACCATTTGACATGATCCCTGTTTTGTTGGAATTATGAAACATAAAAGGAAAACATTTAAGAAAAAATGAAATATGTAAAATGAAATTCATGAAAATCATTCAATTCACAAGTTTATTGGGTCTACAGGAATTTGCACCTGTCTATAGCATGAGTATTATAGTTATATTTCTCAGGTTGGTTGGTGACAGTGCTGATTTCTGGACTGCAAGATAAGTGGAGCAAAGGTTGTTTGGGATCTTACTGAATTAGCTGGATGTGTGCTTTTAGAAAGTAATTACGTACTTCGTAGAGTACGCAAAGTGGGATAGGTGAATCAGGAACTCAAAATGATTGTGACTATTAATTACAGCTTTTGATCAGCATTTTATGTCCTACTTTGCTATAGATCTGATGCTTGACCAACAGGAGCAACTGGAACAAAAATTAATATACTTTAGAAAATAGATTGTACCATATAAATTATCTTGGTAGTTAGCTTTTCTAACTCAGGTCCCTAAAACATTCCCATTATAGCTCTCAAACTCTGCTTCTGATTCAGGGAATATTACAGAACAAATGTTCATTTGTTCATTGCTCATTTGTTCAACCGCAGATATTTA